CGAGCCAACGGATTACTAACATCGATACTAACATTGAAAAACGCCTTAATAGCCTGTGATTGTACTTGTTAAGTAAGACTACTGTACTGGAATGCATGTATAAAGTATTGTTCTTATGATTACTTTATGATTTATCGATATTGAATTGGTTTATCGATATTGAATGGATTTATCGATTTCTGTATGAATTTATTGATATCGCCTTTATTGATATTGAATGGTTACTGACAGATTTGTGAGTTTACTATCACTGCACAATTTCATTGATATTGCATACTGTTTACCGATTCTACTACTGATTCACCGATACCACTGATACAGATATCGATACTACTGATTCATTGTACTGATTTTATGGCACGTGATACACGAATACTGACTGATATATGTGATACACTGATACATGTGATATAGAATACGCTTTTACTATATTGCTGTGATTTCAACTATTCTTATCATATATTGATTTGATTGTTTTATGTGATTCCATACCGATTGATATTATTGACCGGAATTGATCTCTCTTGATACTGACTGATATAATTGATTCGATGATTTCTTTATTGATTTGATGCACGTACTGATTCATTGAGCTTTACGGACTTTTATACTGTTTACTGATTCTTCCACTGTCGATTGAGGATTTTACTATTTTGTATTGATATTGTTTGTGCATTGACTACCGTTTCTGTATTGATTACAGCCTCTGTACCGATTTATATTTCGGCATTGACTCAACGATCATGTGCAAGTGACTGATATTGATTTGATTGATTGACATGCATATTGCTTCCGTACCGTGCTTTGATTTCAGTTGTAGGTTTTTGGTGACCTGCTGGGCTTTTTAAGCTCATTATATGCGGTTAATGATTTCAGGTGCAGAGCCTCCCGCGTGAAGCTTCTTTCTGATACTAGTGTAGTTTCGTAGTTTTTGGTTCATGCATTATTTTGTAGCTTGCACGGCTATTGTATATGTTCTTTTGGACGCCACTTGTGGATTGTAAATTTGATATGTCGTAATGTGAATTATATTTTTATATTGTATTTGTTTTCTTTAATGCAACTATTATTTCTGGATGTCTGCATTGATCTGAGCGAGAAGAAAGAATAAGAAGAAAAATATGTCGATGAATCCTTTCATTATAGATGCCTGGGACGTCACAGTGTCAATGTCTTCCTTTCACGAATGAGCGATAGTTAGATGATCACGATTGATATTGAGGTGTTTTGAACTTGTTTTGTGTAATGTTGAATCACTTGGCTACCATTCTTTTAGTGTTAGTTTGAATTGGTTGCGAGACACGTACGGAGGTCAACATCCTCGGAGTTATCTATCACATCTTTTGCAATAATACATTATTATAGTAATTACTCCACCAACATTAATAAAAAAATCCTTTAATACATTTAGTTAGAATAGAGTGAGTAGTAATTCACTTAGCTTTCACCCACTCAAGCTAAAGTCATGAAGCCTAGAGGTGACACCCGAACTTCTGATTTGCCATTCACTTGAACTCTTTATCATTGATTGATTTCTCTAGGCACCATGAGAAATTCTTGATGGTGTCACTCCTTGATTAGGGTCTAGGCTAAAGTCTTCGATGGTGACAATCAATAGAGTCATAATCATGATGCTATGCTTCTACAAGAAAAACTTGCTATGATTCTACTTTTTGGATGCAGGAAAAGCTTGTTAGGATTTTACTTGTGTAATAGCCCACAATACCCTTAAACTGTACTGGGAGTATTACTTACATAAAGATAACAATTTCCTTTTTTATAAACATCTAATACAATTTCTCTTATTGGAAATTCATATAAAACATCCAATCATATATTCTTTGATACATCAACGGAAACAACTAATAAATTAAAACTTCATTAAACATACTTATAGAGTTACTAAGGAAATTCAAATAAAATTAATTTCTAAAATGTTTTCATACCTCACAAGTAGACTCACTAACAAATATGACTTTAACATAAAAAGAAGAATTAACTTGCATCTATTAATATGCAACAATCTTCTATTTTCATTTTCCTGTAACATCAACCAGTAAGAAATTACTGGTGAGCTGCGCGACATTATCGCCATTTAATAACATAGAGGTCTCTTTTGACTATTTAGGGGTCCCTTTTGCCCCATCAACAATACATGCTTTATATTTGGGTCCCTTTTGTCCACCTGATATTACAGTTATGATAACATAAAATTGCCAATCTTTATTAACAGAATATTCAGTAATTCTCATTATCCATAATTCATAATTTCACATTTACATGGCTGTACAAGGGTTGCAAGAACTTAATATGCATTATTTAAATAAAGCACTGAGCCGAATAGATTTACAGCCTACAAGCAATCACTTAGCTGAAAATCTGCTATGCGGAATACTGCTACAGTGCTGCATACACTGTGCCGAACTCTACTCCTCAATCCCCTGTGCCGCAGCTTTCCTCTGGCTGAACAAGGCAACCGACAGTTTCTTTAGGAAATTCTGCACCAAGCCAACCTTTTTTACTCTTGCTTGCTTGCTTGCGGTAATCTTCTTCTCCAACGAACACTGATGAAGGGCTTGCGGAAATCTCCTTCTTTAGCTCTCCTCCAGCAAATATGCAAGCATGGGTGGAGATGTCCACGGTATACAAGATTGGAAAGTGGGCCTGTTGACCTCCATGTATAAACCAAAAGAGAAAGAAAAATAGAAATCCCACGTACAAACCTCATACCCGACGGATCCATGAAATCTGCCGAGACTCTGCCGCAAATCCCCGGAATCCTGTTGAAATCACGCTCGCAGCGCCGATTCATGTCATTTCTCCGCAATTCCTGCTCAAATCCCGCAGCCTCGATCGCTGATTTTTGACGCCTTTAAAAGCCAACCGAGCCCTCTTCATTCGGCTGCTCTTCTCCCCCATTCGCAAATCTCTCACGCTGCCCACGATTCTCCCTGTTTCACTCTTATCCGGTCCGCTTCCTCCCACGACCGAAGCTCTGCCCCAGTCGCACCTCAGGCGACATTCAGCAAGCCGATCCTGAGCTCCTCCCTCTCCCATTCGCAAATCTCCCGATACCTCTTCACTCGACCCCAGCTCCCTGTGCCGGCGAGATACCCGAGCCCTTCCAACCTTATCTCTTCCACGATCGCAAGAGCTCCAAAGCTTCCAATCCCGAACCTAGCCGACCTCCTCCTTCCCGATCTTCACAGAGAGAGAGAAAGAGAGAGAGAGAGAGAGAGAGAGAGAGAGAGAGAGAGAGAGCAATCTTTATTAACTGAATATTCAGTATCCATAATTCATAATTTCACATTTACATGGCTGTACAAGGGTTGCAAGAACTTAATATGCATTACTTAAATAATGCACTGAGCCGAATAGATTTACAGCCTACAAGCAATCACTTAGCTGAAAATCTGCTATGCCGAATACTGCTACAGTGCTGCATACACTGTGCCGAACTCTACTCCTCAATCCCCTGTGCCGCAGCTTTCCTCTGGCTGAACAAGGCAACCGGCAGTTTCTTTAGGAAATTCTGCACCAAGCCAACCTTCCTTACTCTTGCTTGCGGTAATCTTCTTCTCCAACGAACACTGATGAAGGGCTTGCGGAAATCTCCTTCTCTAGCTCTCCTCCAGCAAATATGCAAGCATGGGTGGAGATGTCCACGGTATACAAGATTGGAAAGTGGGCCCCATCCTCTAACCGCTCCCGCCTCTTTGGAAATGCATCCTTTCCAATTTATCAAGTTTTAATTAATTTACTTTAATAATTATCTAAACTAACTTATTATATTTATTTAAACACTAAATAAATTAATTTACACATATATATACCTGAATATTTCTGGTTCTTACAACTTGTTGGAGGGGCCATGCATCTTTGATGGTCATTTGAAATATTCTATGGGCTAGATGGGTCTAATCACTTTGGGGAAGTTTTTTGAGGAGTAAAATTTTCATCCTTCTTGTTGTGTTGGTCAATTGAAAGGGATTCCAGCATAGATCAATCATTTCTTTGAGCCTTTGCATACTCTTACTATTGGGAGGTGTCCTTTGTAGTTATCCAATAAATTGTTCGATTTTATGATCTTTTCTCGCTAGATGTCTATGTGAAGGACGATCTGCTCGGACGAATGTTGATCTTAGCATTTATATACCAGTATTCATAGGCAATAATGACCTCAAAACTAATGGGGTGAGGGTGTACGACTCTTTTATGTTCATTTATTTACGTAATTAAATATTTAAACAAAATCTTAATAACTTGACATGCAACATACATGTTTTTTGTTGTTTAATAATTAGATATATTATTCAAATTATTTATTTAATAATAATTTAGTTTCTTATTTAATGACTTGTGTATCAACTCTCCTAAATTATGCTTATTAAAATGATGCACATTACTGGAGATATTCTACATTTAACTATAGTTTTATGTTTTATTAGCTTCTAACTCTTAGAAATTGGTAGAAATAGTATTAGTAAATTAATAAAGTTAATATACTTAGTTAAGCTTTTGTTTAAATGATCAACTTAGATATACTTAGTTAAGCTTGATTACAGTATGAACTTAACATAAATAAATATAAAATCTTAAATAATATCATGACACTTATATCACATTCAAGTTCAGTTCCAACTAAAAAGAAAAACAAAATAAAGGAGCTTTATTAGTATAAAATACTTTGTAGGTTAAAGTTTTGTTGGGACGACTTTCTTATTGCTTCTTAAAATAGCTTTGTAATACAATTTTTTTTAAGATTTCGTATTAGAAATTTGCTTTTCGAAGTAGTAAGAAAGCCGTGTCAAACGAAGCCTAAGTTTATTTACAAGCTTATGCAAAATTGGCCAAATACTCAGCTGGATCGTTTGCCATCTTGAAACTAAAAAAGATTGACTAATTTATTTTTTTACCTCTTTTAAGGGTGATGAGCATATTTATGTTGTTCTCAGTTAAAAAGCACTAATATGCTGAAATTTTTCTTAATTATCTGCCAGGCTTGGAGCAGACATAATTTATGATCCAAAATGTGTGCCGCATCTAATTCGAGTGCTTTGCATGCTTTTGAAGAGCAAGAGAGATTTCATGTTTGCCGAAGAAACAGAAGCGTCAGTGGCTTATATAGCTACTGTTATTCGAAACAAAGAGACATTCAATTATTTCATTGGAGCAGCTGAGGAAGCTCACCTCTCTATTGTGGACATCACTGAAATTCAGCAACCGTTGAATCTGCTTCCTTACATGCTTTCCTATGATCGTGCAAGCGTTCGTTTATGCAAAATTTCATACCTGTTCTGATTAAATTTGTTAAGTTATCATCACCAAAATAAAGCTGTGACATATTATTAGAAACGGAATATTGCTTCAAGATATCAAGAAATTGTTAAACAACAAAAGCACTAGATTAGATCTTGAATTCATCAATTAAAGCATCATTATTTTGATAATAAAAACACTAAACTTACAATATAAGACAACTTGTTCACCAATAATAATATCTAGAAGCAATGAAATGTGTTGCATTCATTTCATTTGATTACTAATAAGCAAACTGAATAAAGCAGTGGAGGCTGCAGCGACGAAATAATCAGGCAGTGTTGGCCGCAATGATTTTATCTATGGTTCCAACATCGGTCTTAAAGGACTGTGCCAAAAGCCAATCGTAGATACCACTACCGAATAGTGTCTTTGGCAAAGAAATAGTCCCAGCATTGGCACTGCCAAAAGCAGATATGGCGACGGCAGGATATGCGGAGTCCACATTAGCTTGGAAGTGAACAAGTCCCTTAGGGAAAACGAAGACGTCGCCACTATCTAAATACTGAGTATAGAGCTTGTTGTTAGAATCAACAAACCCCACTCTTATTGTTCCCTGTATGACAAGTAAGAGCTCGGCAGAACGAGGGTGAGTGTGCGGTGGATTGAAACCTCGAGGTGCAAATTGGAGAGCCGCAATAGATACGCTTTGTCCAGTGAGGGCTGGAAATTCAGCTTGAGTTAACTTTGTTGCCTGGAAGCCATTACCGTCCTTTGGTCCATTATAGAGGAATTGTCTCAACCCTCGGAAGGTAAAGAAGTTGGCATCTGCTACGGTTCCTGGAGGAACAACGAAGTCAGAGGTGATATCAGGGTCACCAGCATGAGCTGAGAGGATAAATGTAAAAACTGTGGCAACCAATAGGTAAGACATCGTTTGATACTTAAATTATACAGCAAGTTTGGGCATATATAGTCTTTTATGTAGTGGAATGGTAGAAAGCTTCCATGAATTATATGATGTGAATAGATCAAACGGCCAATCAATCACTCAGTAATATTTTATGAATGCATGCAAATCATTTGCTTCTCGACAATTGTCTATGTTTTTTTGTTTTGTGGACTCTGTTTATGAGAGAGTTTTTGTTGGACAATACAAGAGGAAATTCGGAATTGACTTGTTAAAAATGTACAGTTCATTGCTAAAGTGATTTATTTGTTTGAAAGAAGCTGAGGACGATGGAATTAAACTTTGGAATTAAACTTTGTCAAACAGAAGGCTTAGGCTTCCTTTGGAATTGCTTTTTCATTGATTCTTAAAATAGTTTTTTAATATAAAAATTAAAATTTTTATATTAAAAAACTGCTTAAAAAATTTTCTCAGTTTACTTGCATTGCATAATCTCGATATATCAGATGAAATATTTGCCAGCTACAGTCTGCAGTGTTTTATAAGATGGCATTTGGGCACTGGCAATTGCCAGGGCAGTCCAAAGAGCTCATGCTTCACAAAAATCTCGTGTTCAGTCCACATGTAAGCTTATGTTTGATTTTTTTTTTGGTTAAATAGACGTCCTTATATTGAATAGTTATTTTGAGCCCTTTTTTAATGAGCTGAACATAAAAAAAGCCTTATTGTTCATTATTAGCTATATATACGGCTCATGATAGTATAATTTTAGTAGCAATAAACCTAGTGATGAGATTGTGACTTTGGGCAATCAAGTCATTAATAAGAGTATTCGTTTTAAATATATTGGATCTATTGTTCAGAGTGATGGTGAAATTGATGGGGATATTATCAGCATAATTCAAGTTGGATGGTTGAGCTGGAGGAATGCATCGGGCTTATTGTGCAATAGAAAAGTCTCACTCAAACTTAAGAGAAAATTCTATAAGATGGTGGTGAGACCTGCAATGCTTTATGGTGCTGACTGTTGGCCATTAAAAGAGATGCATAATACTAAGTTAAGTGTTGCAGAGATGAGGATGCTTAGGTGGATGAGTGGCTTTACCCTTAGAGATAGGATACGAAATGAGCATATACGTGAAAAGGTTGGAGTAGCTCCAATGGAAGATAAGATTAGAGAGAGTCGCCTTAGATGGTTTGGTCACATTAAACGAAGGCCTTCCGATGACCCAGTTAGGATTTACCCTTAGAGATAGGATACGAAATGAGCATATACGTGAAAAGGTTGGAGTAGCTCCAGTGGAAGATAAGATTAGAGAGAGTCGCCTTAGATGATTTGGTCACATTAAACGAAGGCCTTTTGATGACCCAGTTAGGAAAGTTGAGGTATTAGATTTGACTTATGTTAAGAAAGGTAGAGGTAGACCTAAAAAGACTTGGTTAGAAAATATTTGAAATGATCTTTCTTTATTAGATATAAATGAGAATTTGATTTTTAACCGGACACAATGGCAAAAAAGAATTCATGTAGCCAACCCCACATGGTGGGACAAAGGCTTGATGTTGTTGTAATGTTATACTATTTTAATAGAATGAATTCGTTCAAGAAAAAGAGGTATTTATTCATATTTGTCAGATTGTTTGTTTAAAGATTTCATGAACAAGTTTGTTTATAAGAAGAATTATTTTTTGAGCTCATTTGTTCGTGAATGAGCTTGTTGATAACTCGAAAACACTTGCTAAATATGATTATGAACGGGCTCATTTGGTAGGTTGAAAGCACTCATTAGATATGTTCATGAATAAGATATAGGTAATAGTTGGCTCGATAAGACTCGTTTGTTTAAAACTTGATAAGCACAAAATGAATCGAACATAATTCAAATATGAACATCTATCATTTTAAACAAACAAACTTGAATAAGCTGATAATAAATTAGCTCAAACCTTATGGATCAACATAACATGCTGGTATAATTGTGCGGGCTCCGAAAATTCGGCCCCGACCTCCCTGTCGTGTGATGATCGTTTGTGCCTTTTTTTTAGGCAAGGGAGTTTTAACGGAGTAAGTTCTAGGGTAAATTTTGGAATGCATATGGGTTTGTAGATAAGACACTACCCGGAGATTTTGCCCTCATTTTGCGAGGACTTTTATGATCTGAGTTCTAGTTTCCTATAGGCGCAAGCCCCTATAATTAATTAACCCTCCCGATCACAAGAGAGAACTTTCGATTAAGGCTAGTCGTCAATCAAATGCGTAGAAATACATATTATCTGGCATATAGTAGCAGCATTGATTTGGGATTTGAGAATTTGGAAAGTTCAAAGATTTGATATTTAAAATGGAAATTGCACCATCTTGTACTTAAAGCGGATGGTGGGGGAATGGATGATGGACCCGATCAAGATCCCATGGTTCCGTCGTCCCAGGCCATCGTGGTCCCTGGTCTACTTAGTCAGACCTGACAGAAGGATCCTTGTCGGCAGCCATGGGTTGTTTCGTCCAAGGGGACCTTGTAGACCTGGGATGAATGTTTGTCTTAAGGGGACAAATTTAAATCCACCTTAGCTAACAGAGAGCTTTGTGCCCTATCGATCATATCCTATTGATTCATATCTCAATGATTTGATGCCAATAAGAAGCGTATTGGCTCTGGCCATAACCGGTATATCGTGGTGACATTGGCGGCAAAATCACTCGGTTCAGAGGGCCCCAGGTCGTTATAACTGTTTATCATGCAGTGCCATTTGGCGGCAAAATTACCGGTTAGAGGACACGTACCACGTCCTTATTGGCAGGAGATTGTTTGACAATGGATTCTAGTGATATTTTCGACTAGGTATTTGGCTCTTTGTGAGCTGAAGTTATATTTGAGATTTGTCCACCTCCGCAAACTGTTGCGGAGTGTGGATGAGTTTTTGCTTTAAGCATTAGATGATTTTTTTCAATTTTAAATATCTTTGAATTTTGGGATTGATTTTGGGTTTCTAGAGTAGTTGGGTGAAGTTTGGATTTTGTGTGGACTTTTTGAGAGATTTTTTTTTTAAAAAGGCCTGAAATTAACCCCTCCGGTTGAGATCTTCAATCAATGCAGCCATCTTCGGGGTGTGCATGGGGTCATTTCCTTATTTAGAATTGAACCTTGTCGACCCTATCAATTTGCCGATAGAGGATCGAGTTTTGTAGACTTTATGCCATTGTTTGTGAATTTTTTTTGTTAAAGGCCTAATATGAATGTACAAAATAAATATTTCGGTCAATTTCGTGATCGCATATTTATTTGATATAGGATCGGGCTTCGTAGGCCTTGTACCTTTGTTAGTGAATTCTCTTGATTATAGGCCTTGAAGGCCTAATATAAATGTATTAAAACAAATACACCGGTCCCCACAAACTGTGTATTTATTTGAAGGTTCGAACCCTGTCGACTTCTATAGGTCTGTATAGAAGGATCGGGTTCGAACTTGAATTCACTTATTTACCTGCGCAGCATCCCTAGATGTCACGTGTACCAATAACACGCTCGCCGGGGCCCATGCGGGTGCTTGAGAACTTCATTGATTTGGACGTACCCCTTGTGTACCTATGTGTATACAAACTATAGTGCATGTGCAGGGGTACTTCGAAATATTTTAGTTGTGTGGGTAATCATCATTTAAGTGCACACAACTTTTCATTTGAGATCTATACACGCCTTTTGTCCGCTAGTACGAGTGTTGCGAATCCGGTGATGGTGCGTTATAAATTGTAGACGTGTTCTGTCTGCTTGTATAAGTATTGCAAATCCGGTGGCGGTGCGTTGTAGATTGTAGACGCCTTATGTCTGCTTGTATAAGTGTTGCAGATCCGGTGACGCTTGATGTTATAAGGCATCTCCTCATTTTGATGTCGACTCCCCTTTTCTCATTCACCGGGGGTGACTTCCTTGAAATTCGTGGCCACTGCCTTGAAATAGACTCTTTTCAAGCTCTTTAGTGTAGTAAACTTATCACTTCCGGTATTTGTGGATACCAGAATTATTTTCTTCTTAAGTATAGGATTAAGAAGAGATTTTGGAACACCAGAAAATTTAATTCTAATTTATTCAAGCATCCCTTCCATTATGTTAGGTGTCCTTTTTCGTACATCGGGTTGCCCTTGTACTAGACGTACTTGAAGATCTTGATCACCACTATCGTAGGTGATATCCGTACTTGTGTCTACAATGGTTCATTGTACTTACAATACACTGTTGTTATCCACAAGTATTCATTTGTAGGGAATCGTTGTATCCACTACGACCTCCTGAAAGTGTTTGTAGAAGAGCCATTGTCACCTACATCATATCCACCTTTCACCAATCTCAGGTGTTTTGCTGATTGTACTTATTTACAGGGGACAGGTCTTCTTTTATCATTTACAATGTTGCCCTCTCAATCTACAGGCATTGTTGCTTGTGTTGGAGGTTCTTCATTGATGCATATAGAAGATATTTATATTCTTTATAGTGGACTGATATCATTTGGACCTAGTTAAATATCATTATTCATATGCATTGAAGTTTTGGCTTCCACTTGCTTGCTTGCATGATGACATCGATCATAGAGGTATTGTTGCATTTGTCACTGACCTTTGCCAACAATATTAGCATTATCACCTCGCCAAATCACAATTTATCTTAGGCATTTGATTTATGCTTCATGCATTTCATTTGATGTTCAAACCATAGTCCAGTTCAACATCTAGGTTCATTTCAAGTTTGAATTCTTCATGTCCAAAGTCTTGTTCATCTTATTTGATATCCATATCAAATACAAGACCGAGTCCTTTGCAAGTGTTCATTCAAGTTCTCTACTGTCATATTGAGTTCATCCGGATTTGAGTCTAATGCTTGCAGATCCAGGTTTCACTTGGTGTTGCACAGTTCAAGTTCAAGTGCACAAGTTCTTATTGCCCACATCGTATCCCAGTTTGAGTTCAAAGTACATGTTCAAGTGATTGTCCATGGTCCTATGAAGTTCTTGCAAATTCAATTTCATATTTGAATTGATTTGAATTTGGCTTCAATTTGATTTTATTTCATTTGGGTTTTCCCTTTAGAAATCACTTAGATTTTGTTTAGGTTTAGGTCCACGAGTCCACTATTCATTTGAGTCCAAATTCTATGCTTTTAGTTCAAGTACGAGTCCTCCTTTGTTCTTCATATTTCTGCTCAAATGATGTCTTTAAATTGTTCAAGTCTTGTGCACTTCAGTGAAAATTTTGGCAGCGCCCTAACATATCCCCCGTTTAGGGAAAAGTAGGGGAGCTGGGCCTTCCCACCATGCTACTCGAGCGTGTATGGCAGGTGTCCTTAGACATCACGGCCGTACATCTTTTCATCCCACCACGCTATAAGAGCGTGTATGGGGCCTTCAACCGTACCCGTACAAGAACACAAGTGTGTCTCCCCACCACGCTACAAGAGCGTGTATAGGGCTTACCCACCTCACCATATGCGTCGCACCGGGCTCCCTCCTACCGTGTTAGAAGAGCACGTATAGGTGGTTCTCCGGTCCGCCGCAAATGCCGAGAATGAGATTTTAAAACATCATACCTTGCGTAGCAGTCGTCAGCGGTGTCGATGTCGAGGTCGAGGACCGTTCCCACCACGCTACAAGAGCGTGTATAGGGCTTACCCGCCTCGTTGCACCTATCGCGCCAGATTTTCCCCCACTATGCTACAAGAGCGCGTATAGGGGGTCCACCGGCGCGTCAAGTGTGTCGAGGGCGGGGTTTGGAATGAACAAAGATGGATCCCCTTCTCCCTTCATCTTCTTTTCTTTTTCCTTTTTTTCTCTATTTTTTTTTGGCACATACATTTAATTTATAATTAATTATAAATCAATTATAATTAGTTATATTAAATTTATAACTAATTATATTTAATTTAAAGTTAATTAAATTTAATTTATAATTAATTATAAATTAATTTCAATTAGTTATATTTAGTCTATAACTAATTGCATTTAATTTAAAATTAGTTATAAATTAAAGGAATTTAATTTCTAATTAATTGTAAACTAAATATAATTAATTATATTTAATATTTAATTAGAAATTAATTATAAATCAATTAGGTTTAATTTATAATCAATTAAAAACTAATCATAATTAATTATGTTTAAAATATAATTAATCATATTCAATTTAAAGTTAATTATAAATTAAAGTAATTAACTAATTACAATTGATTAAAATTAATCATAATTAATTACCATTAATAGTAATTAAATATAATTAAATTAAATCAATTATAACTGAGTTAATTAAAAAAGACAGGATTTAATACAAGATATGAGCTGAATTTGGCAACAGAATTTATGCTGGAATTGATCAGGATTTAGATAGGATTTGAACATGATTAGGCTACAATCCTCTGTTTTCCTCTTTGTCTTGCTCTACAGGATTTATTGGATTTGGCCGAATAAGCGCTCGAAAAGAGAAAGTTACCCTTACAGCCGGTGAGCTCCCGTTGTTGCTTTGATCAAAATGTCGTAACTTCCGTTCCAACAGGAAGGAAAGTCGTCGGAGAGGCAAGGTCGAATGCCCACGAAGGACCTGAGGAAGCAGCGAAAGGGAGAAAGTTGCCTCACAGCCGGCGAGCCCTAGTTGCTCCCGACCGAAATGTTGTAACTTCCGATCGGATAAGAGGGGAACGCCGTTGATGGTGCGACGTAGCAAGGAGGTCGACGGTAGGGCTTGAGGAGGCTTCTCTCTCTCTCTCTCTCTTTCTCTCTCTCTCTCTCTCTCTGTGGATCGGAGGTATCGGGAGAAAGAACGGGATCGTGAGTGAGGAAGAAGAAATTCGGGAGGAGTTCGGTTCGTCCGCGAGAGAGAGAGTGACCAACAGCCTCTTTCCTTCAATTTCACGCAAGGCAGCTCGTATAGAATCGTGTAGATAGCGTCGTGGGAGTGGCGACATTGGTCGTGCAACGAGCGGCGTAGGACGTCCGATTCACGAGATTTACGGGATTTCATGGATGTCTTCGACGTGCAAACGACATCATTGTACAGGTATGAGCATGTTTTTGTTATATTTGGTACAGTATACGGGTTAACAAATTGATTTGATGATTTGACGTATCATGCATGTTCTTCGATGATTTTAATTTTAGTTATGGTTTTACACAATGAACCTATACACTTTTAGTGCATTTGCATTGTGTACTAATAAGTTTTTTAATGTATTTTCGCACTTTTTAATGCGCCTATGTGATGCACTTGTATATTTTTGATATATTTGCATGGTATGATCGCATGTTTTCAGTTTACTTATGTACTTTTTGATGTATCAACATAGTGCACTTCCGCATTTTTTAGTGTTGTGTGCTATCGATACACCAAAATAGTTCACTTGCACGCTTTTTGGTGCTTTTACGTAGTGTAGTTTCACACATGTAGACATCTTTTTCATATTTCTTATGCATACGCGTGTTACACTTTTCAATGCATTTGCATTGCATTCTTACACAATTTTTTATGCCTTTTCATGATGCATTTGTCTTTTTAGAATAGTGGCATATTTCTCAGAGCGCATTTTATTGGTGCATTTACATGTTTCTCATGGCAACAACAGGCTACTCAAGACGATTGCATATTTCTTGAGGCAGTTGAATGCTTCTTGAGGCAACCGCACTCGTTGCGTTGCACTTGAATTTGATAATTATATTTTGATGTGTGCATATATAAAAATAGCAGGATTTTGTTGTTTACACAAGCGTTTGCTGCTAGAATGCGTGTTGAGTTTCATTTTGAAATTTAAAAAGACTGCTAACTTTCTCTAGCATTTATGTATTGATAATTCGGTGATATTAATTACGAGTCAGAATCTTTGGTACATTTCAAGGTGTGATCATTTTGTCTTGATATGTTTGTATTTTAGCGAGGTGGCTCACATAAGGAATCTTCCCACTCTTATAAATAATAGGGGTTAGCTTCTTTGTTTTCACATTCAAATTAACTTGCCTCACAATTTTGAGCGTGGAAGTGCTAAAGGGGAGTTAGGAAATTTTGTTCTTTCCTGTATGAATTTCTTAAATTCATAGCATGTTCCCTATAATTTTAATTGCAGTTTAAATCTTGTATTTCGTGTGACGTCGCGTTAGTTGTCTATTATTTTTTTATAATGTGGTTATATGGCGTTATGAGAAGGCATTCTAGATATTTTGGGCATTTCAGATATGTTGATGCTATTTGTTTTGTAAAACGGGCGATGATTGAGGATTTCATGTGATGTCACATCCATTATTCACCATTATCATTGCGTTCGATCAAGTTGAGCGTTAGAGGCATTTTGTGGATAATTTTGATTCTCTGTACGTGCAATGTCTTCGTTTCGCGAATGAGTGATATTCAGATTGTCACGATTGATATTGAGGTGTTTTGAACTTGTTTTGTGTAATGTTGAATCACTTGGTTGCCATTCTTTTAATTGGTTGCGAGACACATACGAAGGTCAACAATCTCAAAGTTATCTATCACATCTTTTGCAACAATATATTATTATAGTAATTACTCCAACATTAATAAAAAAATCTTTTAATAAATTTAGTTAGAATAGAGCGAGCAGTAGTTCACTTAGCTTTCACCCACTCAAGCTAAAGTCATGAAGCCTAGAGGTGACACCCAAACATCTGATTTGCCATTCACTCGAGCTCTTTATCATTGATTGATTTCGCTAGGCTCCTGAAAAATTCTTGAGGGTGTCACTTCCCGATTAGGGTGTAGGCTAAGTCTTGGATGGTGACAATCAATAGAGTCATGATCATGATGCTATGAGTCTACAAGAAAAACTTGCTATGATTCTACTTTTTGGATGCAAGAAAAGCTTGTTAGGATTTTACTTGTTGGAGGGGCCATGCATCTTTGATGGTCATTTGAAATATTCTATGGGCTAGATGGGTCTAATCACTTAGGGGAAGTTTTTTGAGGGGTAAAATTTTCATATTATTATTGGGTTGGTCAATTGAAAGGGATTCCAGCATAGATCAATCATTTATTTGTCCTTCTACATACTCTTACTATTGGGAGCTGTCATTTGTAGTTATCCAATAAATTGTTCAATTTTATGATCTTCTCTCGCTAGATGTCTATGTGAAGGACGATCTGCTCGGACTAATATCGATCTTAGCATTTATATACCTGTATTCATAGGCAATAATGACCTCAAAACTAAGTTTATTTACAAGCTAATGCAAAATTGGCCAAATACTCAGCTGGATCGTTTGCCATCTTGAAACTAAAAAAGATTGACTAATTTATGTTTTTACCTCTTTAAAGGGTGATAAACATATTTATGTTCTCAGTCAAAAAGCACTAATATGCTGAAAATTTTCTTAATTATCCGCCAGGCTTGGAGCAGATATAATTTATGATCCAAAGTGTGTGCGCATCTAATTCGAGTGCTTTGCATGCTTTTGAAGAGCAAGAGAGGTTTCATGTTTGCCGAAGAAACAGAAGCTTCAGTGGCTTATATAGCTACTGTTATCCGAAACAAAGAGACATTCAATTATTTCATTGGAGCAGCTGAGGAAGCTCACCTCTCTGTTGCGGACATCACTGAAATTTAGCAACCGTTGAATCTGCTTCCTTACATGCTTTCCTATGATCGTGCAAGCGTTCGTTTATGCAAAATTTCATACCTGTTCTGATTAAATTTGTTAAGTTTTTATCACCAAAATAAAACTGTGACATATTATTAGAAACGGAATATTGCTTCAAGATATCAAGAAATTGTTAACCAACACAAGCACTAGATTAGATCTTGAATTAAGTCCTTGGACGATCCGACCCAAGAAACATTAAGACAATATTAAAGCATCATTATTTTGATAATAATAAGCAAACTTACAAGATAACGACAAAAGACGACTTGTTCACCAATAATATTTAGAAGCAATGAAATGTGTTGCATTCATTTCATTTGATTACTAATAAGCAAAGTGAATAAAGCAGTGCAGGCGGAAGCGACGAAATAATCAGGCAGTGTTGGCCGCAATGATCTTATCTATGGTCCCAACGTCGGTTTTGAAGGACTGTGCCAAAAGCCAATCGTAGATACCACTACCGAAAAGTGTCTTAGGCAGAGAAACAGTCCCAGCATTGGCACTTCCAAATGCAGATATGGCGACGGCAGGATATGCGGAGTCCACATTAGCTTGGAAGTGAACAAGTCCCTTAGGGAAAACGAAGACGTCGCCCTTGTATAAAAACTGAGTATAGAGCTTGTTGTTAGAATCAACAAACCCAACTCTTAATGTTCCCCGTATGACAATTAAGAGCTCGGCAGAACGAGGGTGGGTGTGCGGTGGATTCAAACCTCGAGGTGCAAATTGGAGAACCGCAATAGATACGCTTTGTCCAGTGAGTGCTGGAAATTCCACTTGGGTTGCCTTTGTTGCCTGGAAGGCATTGCCGTCCTTAGGTCCATTCCAGATGGATTGTCTCAACCCTCTGAAGGTAAAGAAGTTCGCATCTGCTTCGGTTCCTGGAGGAACAACGAAGTCAGAGGTGATATCAGGGTCACCAGCTTGAGCTGAGAGGATTAATGCAAAAACTGTGGCAACCAATAGGTAAGACATCGTTTGATACTTAAAATTACACTGCAAGTGTGTGTGTCTATATATATATATATATATAAGAGTCTTTTATGTAGTGGAATGATAGAAAGCTTCAATGAATAATATAATGTGAAAAAATCAAACGGCCAACCACTCAGTAATATTTTATTGTTGTAGGCAGCTGGAATGCATGCAAATCATTTGCTTCTCAACAATTTCTATGTTTTTTGCTTTGTGGACTTCATTTATGAGAGAGTTTTTGTTGGAGAATACAAGAGAAAATTTCGGAATTGACTTGTTAAAAATGTACAGTTCATTGCTAAAGTGATTTATTTGCTTGAAAGAAGTTGAGGACGATGGAATTCAACTTTGTCAAAAAAAAAGTCTTAATCATTCATTTTAAACTCTTGATGATTTATATATATATATATGGAACAGTAATTTCAGGACATGTATAGACTATAAGAGTTATGTAATAGAAATAGTTCCCTCCAAATGTAAGGTTGAAGAGAGAGAACGCGCCTTGAGATAGGACATAAAGAAAGCCTGGTGATAGTTTCTTTTTTCTTAGGTGGAGGCTGATTGTTGGACTGGCATGATAGAGATTTAGAGATACAAATATATCATCAAGTAAGGAAATCATCATATCTAATCGAAAATTATTTACAAATTTAGATATCAAAATATAAGATTTTCGTCGTAATGAATTTATAATAATAGAGATGGAGAGTTGCATTTTTATTTGTATTAAAATTCTATATAAATTGGGTTACTGTTTTTTTACATGACAAATTCAAATAAAACAAAATTGTAATTAAAATATGTCCACTAGTATTAATTTGAGTTTAGAAATGTATTTTGCCGTCCTCAACATTGGAGAAAGAGGGAATAAAATATGAAAACTCAATTGAAGATGTCAAAAGAAGGTGGCGACATTATTGATACACAACAAGGTGGATTGATGATGTTGATGAAGAGTAATCATCAATAGCTCCAAATTTTTTTTACTGAAAGGTCAGGTAATATCGTTGATGCATTGATCGACATATGTTGATTTGCAAATAGATGACAATAGAGGGCATTGGGATGATTGATCAAGACATCGAATGCTGAGAAACAATTAATAGAGCTTGGAAGCCTGTTATTGATAGACATCTTTTGGATCTAAAAGAGGTTGATGCTTCAACATTGTTTATGGTTCCTTGCTTCTCCAAGTTCAAAATATGATAAAATAAGGAGAATTGAGCCGTATTTTTAATTGCTCGTTTCAAGTGAACGGATGCCACCTCTTTTCATTTGAAATCTAGTGAAATTGGGAGGGGAGAATGATCATTTTACCCTTAATTTAGACACATTCTGATTAAAATCTAATTAGTTAAATTTAATTGATATGTAAAGTAAATTTTAATACAATTAGCGAATTAATCGAGCAAACTTGATTTAAAAGTGACTTCAAAAATAGCTTGAATCAATCAATTATATCAACTTAATGCCGATTCAGTTTTAATTGACTCAAGATGAGTCAATTTGGGCTAATTGAAGCCGCCATCGTTAAATTAAACTCGAATCGAGTCAATCTGCATCTACGTGCTTAAATTAACACTACTTTAATTGCTTTGAAGTGAGCTGATTTAGCTCAAATTGCGATAAAATTGGGTAATTTTTATTTTGTTGATGTTGATTTAATCAAATCAAGTTCGGTTAATTTCTAATTTTGATTTTTTTTACATGAATTTAATTTGGATTACTTCAAAGGTTCGATTTGGCATCCAATTATTCTCAATTAGTCTTAGATGGGTTACATAATATTTATCAAATTTGTCGAGTTTAAATTGAAACCAAATTAACTCAATGACATTCGATTACATTATCACACTTGGAATCAAATTGGATTTAGGTCGCACTGAGTTTGATTTGGGTCGAATTGTGGGGCCCATTCTTTGCTACATCATTGGGCATCCACTTAAGAGGAATCCTACTAGTGGACATGTCTACACTAGGCTATGAAAGCCTATGCACAAGGGATGAACTCAAGGAAATCAACCTCACACAAAAACGAGGTCCATAATAACTGATAAGTCATTTTGAGATATGATGATACCTAGTGTTGTTGCATTTATATGCATTAAAAGGATTTAACATTAGTAGTAGTTTGACACATACATTTGTAGCACTAGCATACTAAAAACCCGTCGTAGGAATCATGACATGTTATTTTATTATAGTGACACGTTGGTTTTCGCTTCTACTTATTGATTGGTCATACTACATGTCACATTCTTCTGTTGTTTATGCTTTGATAAATAGGAGTTACTTATTAGATTTGATTTATCAAACTCGTTATTCTCATTTTACAACAGATCCTGCTCATGTGTTTAGTGAGTCATCACCTTAGAAGCAGATTCGTAAGAACCGAGTTTTGTCGGTTCAATTGAATCAGCTCTAAAAAAATGAACACAAGTAGGTAAGCGAAATCGGGCAGGCGAGCGGAATCAAGCAAAGTGAGCGGGCGCGGAAGCTACTAACGATATCAGATTGCATAGATAAGTGAGGAAATGCGTACGAGGGTGAAAAACAACGACTCCTCACGAGAGATAACTTCGTTTCGCTTCATCTAGTTCGTCAAATGAGAGAAAGAAACTGAGAAAGCAACGACCAAGAGAAGGAAGAAGGAGAAGAAAGGAAATAGAGAGAATGAGGAAGGAAGGGAGATCAAGAGAGTGATGGCGGAAGCAAGGGAGAAGCTTTGGGTCAAGCGAAGGATTTAGTGGCAAGCAAACACGGCTTGGAAAGTTAATCCTTTTTAATTATAATTTTTATAAATTAGTAAATGTTGTTTAAGAAAATTGAATCCAAAACCTTATATTTTTAAAATGATTATATCAAACATTTTAATGATAAATGAAAGATATGCAAAGAGATTGAGAGCATATATTCAAATGAAAATTTATCAATAAATTAAGTTATTATCAATTTAAATATTTATAGAAAAATGAGTATTAACTTAAGTGAGAAAAACTAGTTAAATTTATGTTACGTAAAGAAATAATAATAAGTTAATTTAAGAAATGTATTAGTAAATATAAATAAATTGGAAATAATGTAGAATAATAAGAATAATAATAATAAGAGAATTAATTGGATGAATTTAATAAAGAATTAGAGAGAGAAAAAGAGTAAGTGTAAATTTTGGTATTCATGAGAGATTTCATTAAATAATATATTAAAGATATTTTCTTTAATAGCAAATGAGAGCTATTTAGGAATAATAAAATAATTAATTAGAGAGAGTGAGAGCAATTCTAATCAATTATATTTGAGTTGTTATTTTGAAATTGAAATTTTAATAATTATTTATAAATTACAAGTTAAAAAAAATTAGAGAAAATTTTAAATTAAATTTAATGACAGGATCTTTTATAAGTGTTAAGTCTATCAACCTAGAAGTAAAGAGTAAAAGTGAAGCAGCACAACACCTAAGTTCAAGTGAGTATTCATGTCCTAATTTACGGTAATGATATTTGTTTCCGTTACACATGACACATCAAATGTTGTTATTATTTAATTTTTTTTATTATGAATGTTCTATGATTTTTTTTTTTATTAAAGATAATTGATCATGTTGAACTAGAAGCCTTGAATTTTTATATCATAGAGAGGTCACTCATCCTTTCTCATGATGCTTAATATATGTCAATATGAAATGATATGAAAATGTAAATGATATGATTTATGCTTGCTTGTGCTTGTTTACTGATTGAGCACAACTCCTTATTGGTAATGTTTGCGAACACAATGTACCCTTGCACGTAAATGAAAAATTTTATGAAAAAAGAAAAAAGAAAATGGAAAAAGAGTACCTTCATTGACACTATTTTAGACGATGGCTTCTATGGCGGTTGTATTATTTATAAGAAAATATAAATATATGAATAAATATATAATATATGCATAATATTGAAAGTCTTGAAATAAAATGAATCTTACTAAAATTACTTTATATATTGAAATGATTATGCATATTTTTCCAAATGCCTTGAGTTACTGTACTTTAGAAACATGAATTATTCACTGAGTTCTTTTACGACTCCTAAATTTATAAATGAACAGATATTATTCAAAGCTTAAAATGAGTAGAAGAAAAGATAATGTGTATTGTAGGCAAGGTGCTCCGAGTGAAAGTTGCTTATATCTTTTATTTAAAATATATTTTGAGATTTTTAGTGGTTCTTTCAGTTTATTGGAGATTGATTTGACAAATGAAAATTTAAATCACCGTCCGACCGTCTGTTTCTATCTTGTTAATTCGAGCCATCAGGCTAGATTGTGACAATCTAGTACCGTAAATATTTTGCTATTTTGTGAGCTTGCATATCGATGTCACAATGAATTCAACTTAGGAAAGCCTCGCGGCTAAACAGGGCACGAAACATCATTATTTTGATCATAGTAATAATCAAACTTACAAAACCAACAACTTAACCACCAAATCATATTGAAAAGTAATGAAATATGTCAATTAAGACTAAGAAAACTGAATAAAGCAGTGCAGGCTGCAGCGACGAAATAATTAGGCAGTGTTGGCTGCAATGATCTTATCTATGGTCCCAACATCAGTTTTAAAGGACTGTGCCAAAAGCCAATCGTAGATTCCACTACCGAAAAGTGTCTTGGGCAAAGAAACAGTCCCAGCATTGGCACTTCCAAATGCAGATATGGCTACAGCAGGGTATCTGGACTCCTCATTGACTTGGAAGTGAACAAGTCCCTTGGGGAAAACAAAAGCATCACCCTTGAATAAAAACTTTTGATAGAGCTTGTTATTGGAATCAACAAAGCCCACACTCAGTGTACCCTGCACGACGATTAGGAGCTCGGCAGAACGAGGGTGGGTGTGCGGTGGATTCAAACCTCGAGCTGCAAATTGGAGAACTGCAATAGATACACTTTGTCCAGTGAGTGCTGGAAATTCCACTTGGGTTGCCTTCGTTGCCTGGAAGGAACCATTCTTTGGTCCACCCAAGAGGGATTCTCTAAACCCTCTGAAGGTGAAGAAGTTGGCATCGGGTGTGATTCCTGGAGGAACAATAAAGTCGGAGGTGATATCAGGATCTGCAGCACGAGCTGAGAAGACAAATGCTACAACTGTGGCAAGCAATAGAAAGGTCTTGGAAGACATTGTTTAACCAGTTTGTTTGCTCGAGTACTGAATTGGAAGGCAAGTCTGAGTATATATATTTATGGCTTTTAAGAGTGTTTTATATAGTTGAATGGAGGCTAAGGAAGCTTCCATGAATTGTATAAAATGATAGTGGAAGTAATATTTTATTGATGCAGGCGCGGCTGGCAAGCAATAAACTCATTATTTACATTGTTTGTTTTGCGGACGCCATTTGTAAGAAGTTTTCATTTTTGAGAATATAATAACACACTCGGACTTTAGTTTTAAGCTCTACAATAAGAGCTGAAGAAGTTTGTAAAGTATAGTTTGGGAGGAGGGAACTTGTCAAATTTTATGTTAAAATCGAAGACTAGGAGGAACAATGCCCATTAATTTTCCTGGATGGATACCATTTTGCAATAGCCAGAAAAAAAAAAAAAATCATATATAAATTGTATGACTTGGTTAAAGCCCATATGGCAACAGCTAATGGAAGCTGGCTATTGCTTTCTTGACCAAGTCCTATGTTCTTTCTTGTGTCTTTTTGAAGCTGTCATTATCTAATTGTCATTTGGAGTTTAAATTGTTTTGATTGTTTTCGACCAGTCAATCAATCATGTAGATATATATAATTTCATAATAAACACATAGCAGAAAGTCAACTCACAAAATTAGTATTTTCATTTTTACATTTCCTTTTTCATGTTGACCAATTAATCTATGAACGTTACGAGCCTCACAAAATAAAATAAAAATTTTTATGATAACAAACATATTATTTGTACCAACTAATGGTATGCCAAAGTTTAGGCACTGCTTAATTTGTCGCTTGAACTTGAAAATCAAATAATGGACTCACTATTGAAATTTGTAGATTCATTCATGAAGAAATGGCCCAGTTGGCTCAAAATCACGGTGATGACTGAAGCTCGCAGCCCAACAATACAATGTATCAGTTATTTTCATGTCTATTATAACGGTTGAAAAAACAAAAAAAAAAGGTAAAGATAAGCAAAAATCCTCAGAGCAGGAATGTAATACTGAATCCAAAGTGGGATACAAGCAAAAAGAACATAAACGAACATCAAAAAATGAAGAGAGAAACCAATTCTGCCAAAGTTTACAAAAGTTTATGAGCTTTGAAAGAGTCTCATATTATATTATTTGGGTAGAATATGTCAAATGGTACCACTATGAAGAATGAAAATTATCATAGGCCTTCTTTTCAACGTGAGAATCAATGAAAAATAAAATGAGACATATATTGGAGATTTCTTCAATGTGACATGAAAAGTCAAATCATTTTTAAAGATGGAGTGTTATTGATTTCCTACAAGTGCAAGTCCTATAGTTAATTACATCTCAAATGTTGTGGGAAAAGAAAATTCACGACCCGACCCCTTCGCGACCCCTTTATTTCTTTTCCGGTCGTCGAGGAGAGTTTTAACAATTAAGTTCCGAGATGGGTTTTAGAGAAGACATTATCCAGAGATTCCGACCTCATTTTGCGACGACTTTATGATATGAGTATAGGTTTCCTATAGGCGCAAGCCCCTTCCTGATAACGAAAGAGAACTTTCGATTAAGGCTAGTCGTCAAATAGATACATAGTATCTAGCGTATTGTAGCAGTGTGATTTGGGCATTCATAATTTAATATTTAAAATTAGAATTTCGCCACCTTGCATTTAAAGCAAATGGTGGGGGGAATGATGGTAAACTTGATCAAGATCTCATGGTTTCATCGTCCTGGGTCATCAAGATCCCTAGTCTATTTAGTCAAAGAATGTAGTCGACCCAACCTATCAAAAGGATCCTTGTCGGCAGCTATGGGTTGCTTCGTCCAAGGGTACCTTATAGACCTAGGATGAATATTTGTCTAAGGAGACAAATTTGAATATGTGACATCTCCAGGTTTAACATTCAGTTCTACCCATTTTTGGCCAAGTTGAAAAAGGTAAAGATTTGAATTTTTGAGTTTTTCAATTGTTTGCATGTCTTTAGGAGTGCTTTAATACATGAAAATGATTGAGTGTGCTCTAGAATGAGTTTCAAGTGTTTAGTATGAATCTCAGAAAAATCTAAGAATGTCACTTTTGAAGCGCAACGGTGCTGCAACTGGAATGGAGTTCGATCAGAATGTCAGACGAATCCTTTCACTATTGATATCTGGGGCATCACACAATCAAAGTGCCAAATAATGACATTGTGGCACCGTGCTCTCATATTTTTTTGCAAATTTTTGAGCATCGCAGTGCTAGGCCATTATAAACTCATTAAAGAAAATATTTTTTTTCACTATTCCATTGCCATTTTCTTCGACTAGTCATCCGAATATGAGTGAGGAGAGAGAAAGGGTTTTGGAGAGAGATATCATATTTTGAGTCACTTCGGGTCGTTTTCAACCGTCGGCCTAACTGGGAAGTTGTCCGGATCGAAGTAGGTCACATTATGCCACCAGTTATCAAAAATACAAAAAAAGTTTGAATTTTCTGATTAAATTTATATTTTCATTAGTTTAAAATTCGTATAACTTTGCAACATTATGATTACTAATATGTTGAGTATTCTTTAAAAAAATTATATTAGGTAATTTAAAATTTGTTCAGTTTTAATTAAGCATAAAATAATATGGACACCAAAACATAATGTTGTAGTACATTGAATGCCTTAAAACAATGTTTTATACAATATTTTGTAATTTGGCTATGTTTTGACGTTGTGAAAATTTACTCAGCAGGAAGTTTTGTTGTCTATCGTTATAGAATACTATGTAATAAAATATATGCTTATGTGATGAAATATATGTTTATATGATCGAAAAATATATGCTGGGAGCTATAAGAGATCATAATCTTTTGAGATTCTATATGTGTTATGAAATTATTGGGAGCTATAAGGGGCCAAAATACTTTGAGATTCTATCTGAGATAGGAATATGTGATATGTTTTGATATTATAAGCACAAGAGAGTCATAAGAAGCCAGAATCCTTTGAGATTCTACATGAGACCAGGATATGATATGAAATACTTTGTTTGGATAACTTCTATATTTTTCTTTCTTTTCTCAGTATAAAACTATAAATAGTGATTTATTATATTGCATTTAACTGTTTTTAAATATTCATTAAAAATTTTAATAAAAGAATATTTGGAATTTTAGATCGATTTTGTGGTTTGCTGAGCTGTTATAGCTCACTGTGGTTTGCTTGTGGTTTTCAAGATCTAGAAAATGGAAGGATATTGTTGATTAGTATTTCAGGATCAGATTTGAGTTGATATGTATTTTACTATTTTAATTTTTTTAACAGTCATGGCTAGTTTATTTTTCAGTTCAGTAAGTCTTACCAATAGCCATAAACTGTAGTGCAGGTATTTATTTTGATAAAAAAATCTTGTTGATGAGTTTATTTTAGTATTTGGATGTGTTAGTAGCTATGTAGTATGTTGTTTAGGGGTGTAAACGAGTCGAGTCGAGTCGAGTTTATACCCTTATCGAGCTCGGCTTGTTACATGGAAAGCGAGCTCGAACTCGAGCTCGTCTAACTATAAACGAGCTCGAGCAGGCTCGCGAGCCGGCTCAATAGCCATGGACGGGAATTTCTTAATTTAAGCGGAATTTTTAAAATTTTGAAAAATTAGACGGGATTTTTAAAATTTAGATAAAATTTAAAAAATATATATGAAATGTTTAACATTTAAATAATAATTAGATGATTATTATTTTTTTATATTTATATTTAATAAATAAAATAAAATTATTTTAAAATATATAAATATTTATTCGAGCCGGCTGTTGAACTTCATATAATATCCAAAAGGAACAAAAGAGGAGAAATCAAAGTAAAAATCCCACCGCATCCCGTGATTTCTGCTTGAAACCGGCTCTCGATCTCTACCCGCTCGCGTTCAACTGAAGGCTTCGACACACACGACGCTCTCTGCTTCTACTCCCGAAATCCACGAAATCCTCTTCCTCCCTCGACTCCCGTAAGCATCCCGCTACTCTTCTTCCACAATCGCTGCTTCTCCTCCCGAACTCCCTTGCTCCTCCCGATCCAGATGCAGAGAGAGAGAGAGAGAGGGAGATGAAGAGAGTTCTTCCTACCTGGCCGAACTCTTCCTCAAGGCGCCCGAACTCTTCCTCCATCCCGACGCCTGCGACCTCCTCCCTCTGCCCGACATCCAACCTCCCGATCTCCTTCAACCGAGAGAGAGAGAGAGAGAGAGGGAGGCACCGAACCGACCTACCTCCCCCATTGCTGCTCGGCTTCGCCCCATCTCCGATTTTCCCTTCCTTAGGT